AGATAGATAGATAGATAGATAGATAGATAGATAGATAGATAGATAGACAGACAATAGTTTGTACATTTAAATGGGGTTATTCAAAACAAACAGAAGTTGGAATAAATATGTACATATATGTACTATATATGTGATGTATGTTGTATACACATAGGTATCTGATATATGTATGTGTATATATCTCACAGTTGTTGTCCTTGAAGTCTTAGATGTTTGCCTATTGCTCCATATTTATTCAGCATGCTGCTTCTGAGAATCTTTCTGGCAAACCTGCCTGTGCTGTTCTGAGACTAAAACTCCTTCAGCAGCTTGTCATCACTTGAGGATAAGTCCCAGTCACCATTGCACAATGCACTGCACCTTTTATCTCTAACATCTGCCCATCCCTCCAGCCTCATCTCTCACCGGATCCCACCTCATGGCACTGAACCCTGCCCTTGAGCAATAACCAGTTACCTGCAGCTTATGAATTTGCATGGGGCCTTCCTACCACTGTGGCTGACTAATTCCTGCTCTTCAGAAGAAGCCTACACCAAAGGCTATATCAGATATAGGACCCCGTGTACCCAAGTCTGCAGTCTTTCTCCCCCCCTGCCATTGTCCATCAGAATTAGCTCTCTGCTTTTTGAACTTACCTTCTGAATTGGATTGATCTTCCTCAAGGGAAGATGTTTAAAATCTGCCTTATTTTCTCCAGATTTCTAAGAACCTGTTGCACACAAAGGTGAAGTTAAGGAACAGTGGAATCTTAGTGGATGCCAGTGTGTAGTAGGGAGGTTCCTAATTGCCAGGAAGCCATGGTCTCTGTGGCTTTTGTTCCAAATAGGCAGAGCTGGAGAATGACATCTACTCCCAAACAGTGGTTCTCAACCTTCCTAATGCTGTGACCCTTTCATACAGTTTCTCATGTGGTAGTGACCCCAACCATAACATTATTTTGTTGCTATTTCAGAGCTGTAATTTTGCTACTGCTATGAACCCTAATGTACTAACCCTAACGTGGCTCAGAAGAGGTCAGGACCCACAGGTTGAGAAATAATGTAAAGTGCCACATTGCTCACATGTTCGCTTCTGGAGACATTTCAGAGAGTCCTCGGGTTCTGCGGCACAGGACACATGACTTGAAAATG